CAAACTCTCAACACTGAGCTGGGTTCGCGTATCTATAGAACGGATACACCCACGAGCTTTCCGCCTACCTGCAGTCGCTGACAGAACTGATGTGGCACGAGACAGTTGCCTATGATATCCATCATCATACCTTTCGAGGATAATCGGTCGTCACGCCTATAACGACCGCCGAAGAAACCGGCACCGCGAGAGAAATCATTTGCTATAGTAAGAGAGATTTCGGATGCTCATTTGTGTCGTTAGCACTTTTATGGATGAAGATGACACGTTTTGACTTCCGCGATTCATCGAAGTCGCCGATGAAAAAATATATACATCTATCGCGTACGCATAGTTTAAACTTGAAAATAGAATAAATAATTAATAATTACGATACATTCATCAAACTTCAAATAAATGCTTCAATTAATTAATTAAATATGCTTATAATTATACGTATGATTACTTTTTAATACGTTCTAATTATATATAATAATATAATACTATAGAGCTACTTTTTCGGAACAGAAGTTATCTTCGCACAATTACGAGTAGTTTATCAGCGGATGCTGATAAAACCTTGCGCGACGATAATCCGTATATGTATAATGTAGGAAAATCCATTTTCTATACTGAAAGATCTTGCGGCCGATATGATGGAGTGTTACGGAGATTGGCGGACCACCGGAGTAATGTCTGCACTAATAGCAGTGATTACCCCTGCCTTGTTGAGAATGAACCCGCCCGCTCCTTCCAGCCTGCCTGCTCTTCGGGTTCTGCCTCGTTCTACCTCGCGTACCCTGCCCATGAATTGATGAATGTTTACCAAACTAACTGCATCCTTTTCGCGCAAACTGCCCCCTGGTCATTGGCTACTACAACGTCGAATCTCATCGAAAGCGTGGATCGATTAAATTATGCGGAATATGCAAATTTGTATCGATAGGGTACCCAGCCACGTACCCTGAGCGATCGGCAGAAAATGCAACGAGATTGTTGGAAGAGTAATTATTGCCTTTCGAGTCTTCGTGCCGTTTTTATTAATAAGCTAGTGATGTATATGCGAGCACAAGACATTAGATTCGATCGAGAGTTATAAGCTTATTTATCAAACTCGACAAGAGTTATTATTTCGAAAAATTCGCGATACATAATTCAAAGAATGACTATGAACGTATCACGTTTGAGAGAGGAGAAGCGAGTCTCTTTATCGAAGACGCTATTGACAGCACGGCAATCTGCCGCAAGTACTACTGACAGGCTGTATTATTTATTGACACGTGTTTATAATCGCAAGATGCAAAGATAACGCGGCAAAATTAATGGAAAGAAATACGGACCGATGGCTGTGTTTAAAGCAAGGTGAACAGGAACTTTACGCTGCCGTACGACATATCGCGGCGACAAGACTGCAAAATAATTACAGTTGCATTATTATAACGTCACTTGTACTATATTAAAACGATATCATACATATGCATCATCTAAGACGACCGCGTAACATTCACTCGAAGCTCGGTCGCAGTCCGGCCTCCTGTCATTCTCGTTTAATCTTTTCCACGTGTATTGCTTCGCGTAGAAAATTTTTTTACATCGACATCTCATAGAGAAAGATAGAAAGAGATCATATCGGCTCCGTAATCATACATTACACAATGTGCACTTACGTATGAATAATAATACGATATAAATGGTCCCGAGTGTAAAATGAGTCACAGGAATACCTCTAGCTATGTGAACTTGGAAATCTCTGGCTCTGCATGATCTATGAGGAAGTTTCTATTTGCGATCGCTGATAAACGGCCCGATGTCTCGGATTTTTCACAACGCTCACATATCCCTCGTTAATGGTATCTTCTTTGCGAATGAGCGTGCACTAACGTATAGCACAGACCACCTGTCCGGTTTGTATCCCTCGCTCTTTTCCTCCTGTTTGCTCTTTATCTTCTTCTTTCTCTCTCCTTCTCTTTCTCTCTTCCACCGGGCGTCCCATAGGGATACTCGCAGCATGTGTCTGCGATAACTATACCACGTAGGAAAGGGGGGGGGCTTTAGGCGCCACAGAGCAGGTTTCCATAAAAATGCGAGCTACCCGATCCACTGCGACACGGCAGAGTTTAATGTCCCGTGTGACCTACCCTTCCCGAAGCGACGAACAATCCGTTAGATTCACCTAAAGACGAATCTGCTTTATTCTCTTCGAATATAAAATCAAATATATCCGTAGAATATACATGAAAGAGACGCAAAATTAATATATTATTTGAAAATGTAATTTTTAAAGACTAAATAATGTAACTAAATGTTTTTCTATCACATCATATAAAGTCTATCACATCATATTAAGTATCTATACGTTTCATTGATAAAACCGATATGCATCTTACGATATACGGCTTCCGAGCTCATATGCTAATAAGGAATGCAAAAAATCAATTATTATTTTACGATCTGATACTGAATTGCTGTCTCCGCGAATAACCCGAATGGCGACTCAATTTCTAACATATGCAGATGCGCGATGACGGATACCGTTTACACATCATTACGAGCAATTACATGACATAAATCTTTTCAAAATAATACATATGAGATGCTCGACATGAATAATCCATTTATTCACTACGGGATATAGTTGTAAGACTTTATGTAACTGTTTTGCAGAAGAACTGCACGATTTTTTCATCAAATTTGAAACGAAATCTATGCACTATATCGGTGGAATATCATATCGTTAATTACTTGTTTTAGATATGAATACTCCTTATGGACTATCAATAATTCATTCTCGACGTAATCGCATGGTGTGCATCCTCCATCTTTACGATGCTACAGAACAGACAAAGAAAAGGAGAAAGAAAGGGAAACGACGAAACGGAGAAAGGAAGAGGGAGGGAGAGGGGGAAGGGGAGGAAGGAGAGACCCGTGTAAACGATAAATCACGATAAATACGTTTGCCTGGACCATTATAAAAGGCGGAGGAAGAAGAACGGGGAGGAATCGACGCGATCGCGGCGAGGAGAGGGTCAGCAGAGGAGAGATATGCACAAAGGGGGTGCAGCAGCGCGCGGCCCGATATGCAGTCTCTCCTGAGGCCACTCCTGGATGCATCCTCTTCTGCGGCCGCGCATTACGATCGCTTAAGTCTCGGCTCGACTATCGAGTGATCCATCGCCTACGAATTCGACGAAGCCTCCCGCCTACCCTCGGGACATCCTCGACTAATGAGCGTGTCTCGATCGTGAACGACCGGTCTCTCTTTCTCTTTCTCTCCTTCTTTCCGTTATCCTCATCTTCACCTCCTCTTTTCTCTCTGCCTCTCTTCCTCCTGTCTTCCCTTCTCTCTCTTTCTCTTTTCCTCCTCACTTCCAGATGCGCTCAACTTCTTTCTTAAAAAGGATTCCAATTAAGAGAACCCGAATGAGTTTTCGTACGTTCTATTCACGAGCAAGTCCGTCGAGATGTAACGAGGACGACAGGTGGACACGGTAAAATCCTTAGGCATGACCCTCCGAAAAACGCAAAAGGATCGCTAACGATTATTGAAATTCTCAGAGGACACATATTCACATTGCATAACTAGAGACATCGGTGTTGACAGGCGTCAAAAAAGAATTCAATCTTATAGCAACGTATTATTCGTGATAATGTTTATTATAATAATGCACAAGGAGAATTTTCTTTCTTTGGTAATTTGGAAAATGTTAACGTTGCTCCTAAGATATGATTAGATCTATCGAGCAACGTATTACGTATTTACATCATTGATATGCGCCATCGAGACTCAGATTCCACGACGCGACTTTACTGCGTGATGTTTATCTCGACTAGGTGGGAAAGTGTGGTAGTTTCAGTACATTCCTGAGAAGCTGTTTGTTCACCTATGCCACCGATGCGTGGTTAGTGCGTGGCGAGGCGATGGAAGATAGAGAGGAGAAGAGACGGAAGAGCGGGCAGGCAGATATCGGGCCCCGCGGGGGGCTCATAATTGCCGACCCTGAAGATCGGTCGACCCCATGGGGCCCTCCTCTGTTTGTTTTATTCCCTAGTTATACAAACGCGAGATCTACGACCGATATATGATAATCGTCCTTCTAGTTCTTCCAGTTCTCTTCTCTCTCTTTCTCTTTCTCTTGACTACTTTTCATGTTTTTTTATCTTAGTTTTATCTCAGTTTTTTTTTAATTGTGTAAGCTTCACGAATATAGGATGCCTTATAAACACTGATAGACAGGGACACGTCCGAACTAATTCTAACCAGAATCTACCTCCACCATTGATGCTGTAGAAGCTTTCGCCACGTCTCATCATTTACGACGCACATTTATTCAAATTCTACGACGGCCGAAATGATTGATACTCCTCGTTATGAGCAGCTACCTCAGGCTCTCGCGTTCGTCAGTTTAAGAAAGAGGAGCATAAAATATTATCTCAAACATTTAATATGTAAATAATGTGCATCGCTATTAGTACATACATTTTTAAACTATAGATACAGTGTTAATGCATGCACTGTGATAAAGATACATCCACGATAGATGATAGAAAAACTTGGAAGAACAGATAAAGTAAAAGAAAAGAAAGATAATTTTCATAATTTCAAAATAATTTAAGTAAATGCATTATGGAAATTGTATTCTTTAGTAGCGAATCTTTATCAATTTTATTTTAAAAGTATATTACTTTCTTTAATATAGTATTTCATTTTATAAAACATTAATGTTAAAACAGACTTGACTTTGGCTTCTTTTTAGTTGACCTCTCTCTTTTACTTTTTCATTAAATAAACAATCTTATCGTTAAGACACGCAGTGACTACATTTCAAAAAGATAGCACTGCAAATATATCAAGTTGCCCCAATTCCATTTTAATGAAGAAAAAAACAAGGTAAAGCGATTAATTATTGTAGACTATATAAACAACGCGTGTCGTATAAAAAACACATTAAATAATGTGTGCGTATGTGTGTGTATGTGTTTATCGTATATCGTTTTAAATATTTTTTAAGTTAATTACTTACCTCATTGTCGATTTTCTTAAATTCCGGATCATCCTCGTCCACTTCGAAATACAGCTCCGTAGATGTAACGGAAATGATGCCGGGTGCCACGATACCGGGTGCGATTAACCTGCCTTTCGTGCTGATGTTCACTGGACCTGTAATAAAACATGAGCAATGAAATTGATGTATGCGAATAACAATACTGTAAAAATATACTGCCTGCATGCGTGCGTAAAATTGTTTTTATTTAATTTTTAAAATACGGATATCAAAATCTTTTATTTTTGCTTATATATATAACTCATGCATCTTGCAAATTATCAGTAACATGCTATTTTCGAAATATATAGCGCATAGAAATTGGAAATTAAAGGCAGAAATTAAAATAACAAATAACAATTGACGACCGATATTTAAATAACGAATTCAACGAAAAAAGCAACGCAAAATCGCGAAATAAAACCGGTTTGCTCGCTGTGATATGCCATTAAAACGTCGCTCCTCGTTTATCAGAAACAGTACGTTGACCAACCTGTCAAGTCGTTGTCGAGATCCCTGTCGTCTGACAGCAATTCACTGTCATCTAAAAGATCCGCCGACTGCAATTGCTGTTGGTGTGCACGCGAGGCTGCGAGATGCGCGTGAAATTCTTCACGTGCTTGAAGTATCGCATCCTCGGGTGCACCGTGTTCTAGAGCCGCCTTGAGAGTAGCCTCGGGGTGGCTCGAGCCTAGTGGATTGTGCACGAAACGCTTGCGTCTACGTGCATCATCCTCCCAAGCGTCCAGCTTCCAATACTCGGCTAATCTGTGAATAGTAAAATACGCAATGTATATTTGTTGTAGAATTAAGAGATAACTTAAAGTAACGATCATGTTTGCATTTACTTTGCAGCCATTGGATCCATGTATCCCCATGCACCGTGCTTATTGGACAAGATATTACGAACTTTCTCTAGCAACCTGCTGGCGATTACATTATCGCGTCTTCGTGCTGCGGTAATCAAATGATCGCACATACGTTCTTCCTCTCGACGATCCAATAATGTCTGAGCACATTGTGACTAAAACCACAAAAAAACATATTACTTGTTATAATATTTTTCTATAATTAATCAAGTGTATATAATTACACGAAAGGATTATTGTATTTACGGTATTAAAAAACTCGCGCGCGAACCTTCAGGCAACAAAAACTGGTTGGATCTATTTACAATGAAATAAAATTGCGAGAGAAGAAATGCAGTACCTCAAAGTCAGCATGTTTCAGCACGTCATCCGCTCTCATCCTATTTAAAATAAACTCTGCCTCGTTTGCGACTCTTACTATGTGATCCTTCATAGCGTGAGATAGCAATCTGTGTAAACGCAAGGAAGCATTTTCATAAAGGGAAACGAGAAGAGTTTGATTTCGTTTTGTTTGCACGCGTTCTAGCAGTAATAAACGTCTTACCTTCCCTCGTTAATGAGCTCGATGAAAGCAAGACCCGCGTGCTTCTGCAAAGAGTTTTGCCATTCTTGAGAGCAGAGGAGCATAACCAATTCCACGACGGAGTTGCTGTTTTTAAATGTTGTCAAACCTGGCAAATTAAAAATAGGAAATCTTTAAATGAATGAACGTTAAGTAACAATGTAGATAAAGTAACAACGAAAGTGAGATATAGTAAAAAAAAATGTGACAAACGAAAAAATGGACAATGTAATTTACAAAAGACCGTCATTATAATCGTGCATCGAGTGTTGTTGAAAATAAAGTGCATTGATACGTTGTAGAACTATCAAATGCCACGTTCCTTGAATATAAAAATCTGCGAGAGTCATCACGACTTTCTACATGTTGAATACTAATGGAGAGCGATAACTCGGAATACACTGGCCATCTTACTAAAGTGAAATCATAAAGTGACTAATTTGAATACTCGGTGTGACATGGCAGAAATATTTAAACCATAAAAGTGACGAAAGTTTCGCCAAATACGCCCATGTATGCGAGCGGATTTTAAATTTTTATTTATCACCCGAGCATATTTAAATGCATAATTTTAAATATTTTACACGGCGGTAATTGAATTCTTATCTTTATGATCTTTTTATCTACTAATGAGCACATAATACATCGATTACGAAGACTTTTCTACGGTGACGGATTTTTTTAAATATTTTTTTAGACGCGCGCGTTTATGATTCAAATAATAATTTTTTCCAGAATACAAAGTGTGAGGTAGAATTTTTAGAAATGATAATTATATTAAATGATCAATAAAAGTATGAGATAAAAAAAATATGAGCTATATATATTTTTACGATAAATATTTCAATATAGCAATAAAACATAATAAAAAATATATATAATTTTATATATTTCACGGAAAAATATTGTATCTATATGAATCTATCTATATATCTGAAGCTTAATTTCTTAACCTTTACGATTCTTTTTTTATTTGTAGGCGCGATATATGTATCTCGGCATCGCTTAGAAAACAGACCATATTATGGCTATTCCCCGTATAATAAAATCTAACGTAAAATATGTCCTTTTTATTTATCGAGCTTTTTTTAGATATTCCATAATACGCAGAACGTGTTTCTTTTTTATTTGATTTTACAAACGTATAATAATGTCCCTATATATTATTGAAGCAATTTAAAAGTTGTTTCAAAATCAATGAATTTGAAAAATGATTTTTTTTTGGTTACTTGGAATAGAGATGTTTCCTTAACATATTCATGCACACATTGAAGATAGAAAAATGACCGCACGTTCGACATACCCTTACAGCTCGTACCTTTTCCTTCCATTAATAATTCTTGACCATGGGAGCCAACGAGTGTTTTGGACAGGAAGGGGGCAAAATCCACCATGATCTCTCGTAGGAGAGGACAAACCGAACCCAAGGCCATTTCCAATTTTTGTGTGAGCGAAGCTTCGCGAGAAGGTGTTGGTACCGGTAAGTGATCGACCAGACCTTTGATCGGTAATTCTTCGGCTCTCGGAGATGCCGCGGTTACCACCAGTCGATCAGGAACTCGAACTACCGAGATCTCCGCCGATGGTTTCTCTCCCCGTTCCGCGTTGCCAAGCATATCTTGTTCCAGAACATTGCCCTCACTGTCTTGCATGTCACCTATGAATTTCACAATATTTATGCATCTTTGATTTTACGTAACAAATTAATAATGAATTAATTTATAATTATAATATTTATAAATAATAAATAAATAATTTATAAATATAATTTATAATTATTTATATATAAGCTCATCCCTTATTAGTCGCAAGTGATGGCGCTATAATTGATTTGACTCTTACCACGCGAATGGGCGATATTGTGGATATTTCGCGGGTCTTCTCTTGGATTCGTAATCGGCATCGTATCGCCGTCTTCATTGAGATTTACGTCTGTCCAGGCTTCTTCCGATGAATTATGTTTATTTTCGTTATCGGTAGTAATTTCAGAAGGACTCGCGTCCGCGGTGATATTGCTGCGATGTACTGTTTCCTCGCTGGAATCGTTGCTCTAGGAGAAAGTCGATCAAAAAAGGAGAAACATGAAATATCCAAGTTTCTACACCAACTTTGATTAACCGACTAGAAGCCGTCAGAAGAATATTAGAATTTTATATAAAAAATAAAACGTTAATTGAAAAATATATGAGATAAAATTTCAATAAATTATTTTTTGTTAATCTGTACATATGTTAAAATAATCAAGATTTTTTTTTATTTATCGCGTTGTTGAATTTTATTTTATTAAACTTCCTAATGTTAATTATATTGTGTAAAACTATTCAGATATACTTTCAGGCCTAGGAATACTAATATCACTACGATATTGAAGTCTTTTACTAAACCTAGCTATATATTTTTATAGAAACGTTTTATAAGATAATTTCATACAATCATACTTCATAATAAACTCTCGCGTGCCATGTACTTACTTTATTACATGCAATTAGTAGTATACCATTACTAAGCAATCAACTAATGTATCAGATAGAAAGAAAGAACCAAGCCTATTATTCATATATGTAAGCTTCAATAGCAAAATTAGTGATCCTACGCAGATTAAGACCACATAATTGTACACGTATAAGAGCCGCTACATATCATATTATAATAACGTTACGTATATAAGCATCAAAAAGGGAAAATCAAATCAAGTGTATCGCTCTCTCTTTTTTACACCCGTCAAATGGGCATTGCTATATATCTTCTCGCATTCTTTTATACGATTGTCGATGTAGGATTACAATTTTTTTTCTTTTAAGAAAATTGCAAAATATATATTTTTTTAATTACTCCCAAAATACGGCCGATCGTGTGACGATATAATGCGGGAAACGAATTCCCGTCTCCTCGGATCTGTACTCAAATCAAATTTTACCTGTAGATTTCGTGGCAGTGGTTCGGACCTTGTAGAAGTGCCAAGCGTTGGTTCTGATGAGGTGTAATCCTCGAGAATAGTCCGCGGCCGAGGTACACCAGTGTGACCTCCCTTCAGAACCAGTAGTTAGTACGCATAGCAATGCAAGCAGAGGAAGTTAACAATCAGAGAAATTCGAGAGTCAAAGTATCGCATGCTCGATAGAATTACAGATAAATATGTGATACGAACGTTTCCGTGGTGCAAATGTGTGCCCGAAAGTCGCGGTTTCATATATAAACTCGCTTAAATTTCATAGTTTATAATGAGATACAAATTACGTGCGAGAGAGATGGTTACGAGAGATTGTAATTGATAGATTGTTACGTTGGGACTACGTAGATGCAAGACACCAATTGATAAGTAAACACAACATGCTGGATGTTGCAAGAAATCTTCTACGATAAATTTTAGAAAATCAAAATTTTCGATTAATCCAACAAATCAATTAATAGTAATATTAGTTATTAATTTTATCAGAATTAATTCATCAGGATTAATTCATAGGATATTACACTCAAATAGCTAAAAACGTTTTGAATGGTTGACAGATAATAAAGAAAATTACATAAAACTGTATTAATTTGAAAAAATAAATATTTTTTTTAAACCTAACATAATATTCAATAGTAAAAGTGCGTCTATTGATTTATCTCAAATTTTATATAAATCTAATATAACTATTTTCAATCTATTGTAATTGCATAGTATAGTATATCAAATAATTTGATATAAAAATTCTGTAACTCATTATCGCGTGACAAACAATCCATGTAATAAACTAATGCAAAGCATTGTGCGATGGCACAAATATCTCTGATCATTACTACGGTGAATACCCCGTAAGATCGTGCGTGATAAAAAAAAATAATCTTGCTGCTATCAATATCACTTGAAATTATCGAACATAAAAAGACAGATACTTATGACAGTATTAAAAGAAATAGATGTTTAATTTATAACGTTATAAAAAGACCCGCACTCGCTACTCAGAGCTGTGTAAAAATTGAAACATCTTGTCTACGTTATCGATCTATCGAAATGCATGCAGTCTCAAGTAAAATTATTAATCATGACTTCGTAGAGCCGAATACTGTTTTATATCAATCAGTTTATATATATATGCTGTCACTATATTCAATTGAGTTTCATACGTGACGGAATTTACAAGATTTTTACCTGAGATTTTCGGTTCTATAATTCTCGTTGTACACTTCTTTCGAATTTGTTCGGTCAGAGAACAACTGTCTGTCGCATTTTTTCAGATCGTATCGAAATTTCGAATAACGTTGCAACCTTTTCGCGACGCTAACTTACCTTGGTCGATGGCGGGCCTGACGATGTAACATCGTGATCAGCCAGAATCGAAGAATTATTTTCGTCGACGATGATTACTTCGTATTCTCCGTCATCTTGAGAACCTGATTGACTCATTATACCTCCGCTTATACCTGAAAACACGAGGATATATGATATTAAAAATCAAAAAATATAAATAATTTTTCATTTTTACAAAACCAATATATCCATATACACATGCGTTTAACAATTTCAAAAGAGTATAATATTTTTTGTATTCACATTTTATGTGTGAAAAATAATATTATCTTGTTTAGAATTCACACAATTCGTTAATATAAAGAAATGTATAAGAATATAAGATTAACAGATTACATTATTTATATACAATAAATAAGAAAGTATTTTTTACATTGATGTTGCATGAATACAAAGATATAGCAACGCAAAATGATTTCATTAAATTAAATCATAAAATCAATATTTATAAAAGCATTCCTATTCTTCAATCAATAAGAATAAGGAAGCGATCTTTATATACTATTATATTTATATATTCTTAATACTTAATATATTCTTAACAGAATATAAATTTACATATATATAAATATCTTTATCTTTATTTTTAATACAGTCAATGTTCCTCAAATTTTGAATTATATTTATCGAAAAACATTTAAAAATTAAAAAAATACAATCACAGATTAAATAATTGTACAAAATTAAAATTTGTTTTTGACATATATAAAACTATTTAATTACAATAAATTATTTTTTGAATAATTGCGTATATATTCGTATCGTTAATTGTTTATTAATTCGCAGGCAATATCTTTGCATATTCATGGATTTATTCATAAATAAATAAATAAATAATAAACGTAATATTTCTCACAATAAAAATGCACATTTAAAATACATGCTATATGACACTTATACAATTTTTTTCTTTTTCACAATAAGATAAGGTATTGCTTGTGCTAACATGCTGTGCGTATCTCTCAAACTTTTAACTAAATAGTATAAATAAATATCGTTAGTTTTAATAACTATAAATAATCCCAATAATTGATCAACTAGTCGATATAAAAAAAATCTCCTTCTGAAATAAAGAATTAATTAATTAATTTTTTTTCTTGCTTTTACGAGTTGATTATATATTTGAGTATATACTTTTTTAGTACATACTTTTTTCTTAAGATAATTTCAATAGGTTCTTATATGAAAAGGATCTGCAAGATTTATAACAGAGAAAACATCAAGGAAATTGCGCATGGAGGGATAAAAATTCATTCATACCATAAGCGTCATGCAGATTGCGAACAAATAGGAAATGCGCAATAAATCAAGCCAAAAGAACTCGAGCATTCTGTGAAACAACTTTCGGGTTTTCGAGTTACCTTGCAGACCGACACCGGAGTTTCTATGACAGAGATTTCGGGGCTGATCGATATGCTTTTGAAGCGTATGGTGATGGTTGTTGTTATTGTGATGATGATAGTGATGATGACGATGATAGTTATGGTTATTCGGATGATGGTTGTAGTGATTGTTATGATGATTCGGGAGATAATAATTAGAGGGTGGCTGGCGATTAGAGTGCCTGGCAGCCGGTAGCGGGTGCTGGTGATGGTGCTGGTTGATGTGGTGATTGGCATTGACATTCGCATTGGCGTTAGGGTGAGATCCTGGGAGGAACTGTGGGTACACGTGGTGAGACCACTGTGGAAATAGGGGCCGCCCTTCTCCACCACCATTCCCATCTGCCGAGGAACCACATTTACCACGTTATCGGATTGTGTGCACTATCATCTTTATCTTTTGCACTATCCATAGCATATTCTTAATACTGTCTTTCACTCTATGCACTCGATGAATAAAATCAGGACAAACAGTATAATCACGGTCGGTACTTGAAAATACGAAATTATGCGAATCGTGTCAACACTCTTGTAAAAAGATATTTTGCGAAAGATTTATAACAATATCAAATATTAAGTTTCTTATATCAAATTTAAAAATAATCTTCATATAATTTTCTTTCAGTATATATAATTCTAAATGCATCTTTAGAAAAATCATTTCTTTAAAATATATTATAAATGTGTGTGTTTAAAATATATTACAATGTATCTACATAAATTATAAATAGCTATTTCAAAAATTCTTATTCTTATTGTATGCATTTGAAAATTTGAAAAAATAAAAGAAAAAAAACATTTTTAAAGAAATTTTAAATGTTTTATTAAATCATAGAGTGAAATTCAGTATATAAAAAAAATTTTGATCATATAATATCATATATTATCTTGTAAAGTATGTAAATTCTAAATAATTATAGATTAATGATACAACTTTTTAATTTGTTCCATAATGTAAATTTTAATTGATATGAGAAAGAATAATGATATATATAATAATAAGAATAAGAATATCAATATTTGTAACGTATAATAATAATATTTGTAATAAGCAGGGGGAGTATAACATTCTAAAAGAACTTATTTCTTTCTCTCTCATATATATGTATATGACAATTTGTTAGTTTTTTAAACATCTAAATATTATATAATCGTATAACAGCAGTTATATATAGAGACATTTATTTTTTTAAATCTCCCACATAAAAGAAGTTCCACATCCACGAGAATACAAACATAATGATATAACAATTGTATAACGTAAAAGTGCAAACACATTCGGCAAACATCAAAACTCTCACTGTCAGATACATATAAGATGTTTATTTCATACAGTGCAATATAACACATGCGTTCTACTAGTGTCATGTGCTGTTGTTTTAGTTGCAGCTACATTGTTTTGGTGCACAGTGTTTAACACAATAACTACATATTTGTACATATAAGCTATTTATACCATTCATCATATTTCATTCATTTGTAGTATTATTGTAACACAGAATTTTCTCTCTTTAGTTAGCTAAAAATTTACTAAAAAATGGCATAGTAATTTTTTAATAATAATGTTAAAATTTTGAAAAAAAACAATTTTACATTTTCTAATTGTAAGTATATAGCTATGTTTTTATGAGGTACATTTTTCTTTTACATTTTGTATAGCTGCAGACATGCTATATCGAAAACATTACCGTTCACTTATTGAATTAAATTTATATACTACAATCTCTCTCTATATATATAAAAAGAAAGTTAAGAGAATATATATCTGACACGTAAGAGTTTTGAGTAAACAGAAAATTCCTTAAAAATGTTCAATATTTTTAGGGAAATGATACTCCTTTTTGAATAAATGATCAACGTGCAAATTATAGTATATAAAGTAACATAAAGATTACTAGAAAGATTATTAGGTTTAATCTTTTATAATATCTAAAGTAAATAATAGATTATCTAAGTATAATTAAAAATAGCAAGTAATTATTAATTTTAAAAATCTTAAATTATAGTATAAAAGCATATGCTATAACATGCTAATCAACATAAAATAGCATATTATTATTGTATTACTTTTGTCTCTCTCTCTCCCTCTCTTTCTCTCTTTCTCTCTCTCTCTATCTCTCTGTCTCTCTTTGTTTCTTTTTTTATTATTTTGTTCTGTAATTTATAAGTTCTTTGCAGAGTGCATATACTCTCAATAGTAGATCTTGTAATAGAATTTGTAAAAATTATGGCTAAAACAATAATTTTGCATATATATATATATATGCCTACATATGTATATATACCTTGTGACAATAATTTATAAATTATAACATAATAACATAATTTTTACCTTTCTCATTATCTACGTGAGATTTTATTAAAAATAAATTTAACTTTAATAAATCTTTTGCTTTAATAATATTTATTTTGATTATTTTTTACGTTAGTGTTAGTATGTGTGTATGTATATGTATATATATATATATATATATATATATATATATATATACAGACACACACACACACACACATATATATTTATTTATTTATTTATGTCAATAAAATATTGGGATCTCACCTGAAGGACTACCTGGCCTGAGACCGGCGCCATTTGTCTGTATCGTTTGCACTGGACTCGGTGGACGCTGCGATATTGGTGGTTCTAATATATCGCGATATTTCGAAACCATTAATACAGAGATGAAGTAAACTATAGCTAGAGACAGAAACTGTGCCTGCTTGGTTTCTTCCTGAAAATTAATACAAGTGATTTAATTTTCTTCATCTGATGAATTATATATATTCACTCATATTATTGCAATAAAATTTCGTATACTCACAACATCTCTGTATATTACAGCTCTCAAACGATTTACATCCATATCTTGCAACAATTTCTCGGGATCCTTGACCGGACTTAATTGATGCGAAAGATTATCCACGATGTTCTACAAAAATAAAAAATAATTTAATATAATATTTAATATATTAAAGAATAGAGCTACATACACGAACAAAACTTTTCTTTAGCAAATTCTTTAAAAATTGGTAAAAGAAATTAATAAAAATGTAATGTATTTATTATCCCTAACAATACTATATACTATACTATAGCATTAAAATAAGTTCGATCGAATGAAACGTACCTTAGGTGATGTTTGTGCCCCACGTATGAGCGATTGTATGTGCTGTGATTTATTACTAGAACCAATTTGCCGACCTAACATGCTGTACGATCTGCCACGTTCTTTACACTCTAAGCAATTTCTAACGGCACATGTACAGACCTATAGAAGCAGTTTATTAGGTAAATATAATAAAAGATGTTGTGTGGATGAATTATAATATTAAATGAAATATTAAATATTTAATCGTAGCGTATTTTGAAACTAAGAACACTTATATATAAAATTATCTCCTATATGATTTTGAAAATTATGACTATTTAAACAAGTCATTATATTATCACATTTGATATCGGATTTATTCATTAATCTTTAAATATATCAAATATACAAATATATAATTTTATTTAAATTGTAACTCTTTTTATGGATAAAATATTAATATTAATATGGATTTTTATCAAGTTTTATATTGTAATTTGTATCGAAAGATTCAATTTGAAATTTTTTCTTTTGATGATGAAATTAAGTATACAAATTTTTTATATATGATATATTTTATATTTTTGAAGTGTATTCGATGTATTGTATTGTATATAGGGTCTGTTCTTTCTACACTGCTGCACTAGTGCAATAAGTTAGAAAGGGACAAACATACTTTCTTTCACTCTAATTGCACTACTGCAGCAGTGCAACTGAAAAGAACAGGCCCATAATTTTAAGTTTTGTATGTGCATGCCACCTATTCTCACTAAAATAAAAATAAATAAAAATATAGACACAAACTATACTATATTGCAACTGCACCTTTTTATTCGTGTATTACATTAAATCATTTATATATTTAGATATGTTTTGCATATCTCATACTTTTTATTAAAAATATCACATACATAATATGCATATCGCGTAAAGCAAAACTAAAAAAAATAATTCTTTTATATTGACATACTATTTCTTTAAGTTTGTAATTTTCTAAATTGTTGATAAATTTCTTTCCAGAATAAATTTTTTTGTATGTTATATAAATTCTATAATCTCATCAATGCAGAAATTAAACATAAATATGCACTAAATATTAGTACATTTTCCTAAATAGATCCACACAAATAATTTGTGATTAAATTGTTGATTTATAAACTGCATAATAATAAAATCAAAACTATTTATCTATTCTAAACATATGTATTATCATTTCTAAATTCACAAAAAATACCTTATATATAGTAATACAAACCAATCGTAAGCATTGTCGCAGTATGCCACCACTCGACATATTTTTCTCAGCCTCCAATTCTCCAAAATTTAATGAACTAGCGAATATAAGTACATCGGCCATGTTGACTAATCTTTGCAAAAAAGAAACTGCTACCTCGATTGGCATCCCCTGAGTTGGTTCGATTACATCCAATTCGCTCTAAAAATATACAGATATTAATTGAAAACAAATCGTAAAAATTTTTTATGATGTACAATGCGATAATAGTTTACGTACATTCGGCGAGGTAGCCGACGCTAATAAAGGCAACAAGCCACCGCAAGCTATTATGAGATTGTCGGCTAATTGCGAAATTAGATGGACAGTATTCACTACGAAAATGGCATTTTCGCTGCTGTTCACGAAATCCAATACATTCTTCGTCGAGTGACTACAATGCAAGAGATTAACATAGAATTCCAACAAAGTTGAAACATTGCGTTAGTATGCAGTATTGTATTTCCTACCTTCTCCATACTTGAATGTCCGTTTCCAAGGAGAATAGAACGTCCGATAGTAGCCGTTGATGTATATAAGACCATTTAAATTCTGGTATTCTGAATGGAGGTCGCGTCGGACCTGGACTAAACATTGGTCGCGTGGAAGGATTTCCTTGCTTCGATCTTTTGGCTTCTATAATGCACAAAAATACAGGAACAAAAAAGTAGAAGTACATTTAAATTAAATTATAATGAGTGATCAATTTTGATTTTGTAACGCACCGAAATGATTAGGATCCACCTGCGTGGACGTTGAGGCACTCCTTGGTCGTTTCTGAGGCGACGATGTCTTTCGTAAGGGCACAGGCAAGGAGGGTGGCTCGTGACCATTATCGTCCGCGACCGTTTCCGAAGATACGATCGGCAGGCTGGATCTGCGATGGGCGTCTACGTGATCTGGAGGTAAATCATTCGATAACGCATTGTCTCTGGCAACCATATTAGAACTAACGATTTGAGGCACACCGTCGGATAAACTTTTAGTTGCATCACAGACCGTAGATATTGTTGGGATTTGCTGCTTAGGATTTGGCACTTGCGTCACATTATCTACAGAACTTTGAACATCGCTATTACTACAAACACTATCTGTTACTTCTACCTCGCCGGTCGTCGCCGGAACGTCTGACTTATTATCACTTACGCTAGTAGAAATAGTGGACGGCTCCCTTGAGTGTTCCTCATTTACCTTCGCGTTTTCGCTATCATTAATAACAGCACTTTTGTCCTCCGTTAAAGAATCCACGGCGCGTTCATCACTACTTAACGCACTATTCACTATTACTGTCTCCACCTTCTCGTTTTCTAGATCTACTGCCTTCTCCGCGCAAGTCTCGCCGCTTTCTACTACGCTAGTTGAGCAATTATGATTTTTTTCGGTTTTCCCTTCGTCGCTCTCAACAGTCTCAGCGGTAACATCCCCGTCTTCGGAAATATCCTTCTTCTCGACAATATCATCATCGATTTTCTCACTTTCAGACATTCTGCTTCTCATCTCACACGAGATTTCCTGATTCTCGGTTGGCGTTAAATATGCTTCTGATGTATCGCTATCAATTATTTCACGATCATTCTCTAGTTGAAGTTTTTCAATAACTTTAACTGTCAATGCTTCTCGTGTTTCGTCAGAAGGGACAATTGGCACAATATTTTCTTCAGTGTCGATATCGGTCTTTAAAACAACAGAAGTTTCATCTGCGTTTTCGATTGCTGTCGTAGTTTTGTCAGAATCTTCAGTGTTAGTTGGTGTATTACTGTCATCGGTTGCAACGTTATTTTCTTCGATGGATTGATCCTTTGTTTCCTTATCCGTTACCGAAATATTTTCAACTTTATCCGCTGCTGTAGAAGTTGTATCTGGGACATTAGTAACTTCTGTAGTTTCCGTCGTATCATTCGACTCGACAGCTGTCACTTCCGTGTTCTCCTTAATCTGTTCAGTCGAAAAGGATTCGGTAACAGCAACTGATTCTTTTTCCAAAGTTGCATCTTTTTCTTTTTTCGGTGTATCCTGAACAATCATCGAGTCGGGACTGGAACTCTCGATTTTGTGCACTTCACTATAGAAGTCACTTGAACTCTCAATCGATATCACCTCGCTGGTCTCCTGCGTGGTCGGTAGCGAGACAGCCTCGCTATTCGCTTCCTCGAGGATGGTCGGTGTTTCTGTATGAGTCTCGCGCGCAGTGATCGGTGTTTCCGGTTTGTCGCTCAATCTAGAATCCAACGACACTACCTCGCATGATTGTAGAGTATCCAAAGTCTCGCTGCGCGATTTCACGATAGCAGGACTACCGTCGCTTTCGGTGTTGTCTATTGAATTGAGGTCGCAACTGCAAGATTCTTCTAATCGATCGTTTGCTTCGGATGCATCGAATTCCTGCATCATAATACAAGATATGACAATCAATTAATATGTCACTGATATTTCTGCATATGTAGATTTTATAACAATAAAAAATATTAAAATAATACGATTATACATGAGAAAAATTTTAAAGAACAAAAATCTATATCAAAATTTAATAAAAGTTCTACGAATTTTGAAATTACCTTGTAATTCCTTTCCATGTGTTGTATCTCGTGATTTTGCTGATTTCCCCACACCGCTGGTCTGTTATAGCCATTGTTTCCGGAATGCTGTTGATCCCATCCAGAAATCGTGCTAATCGGTCTCTGCTGTCTTAGCTCAGGATCTGTAATATTGTCCGATCTCTGTCGCTCGTAATGCTCGTACATTTGGGCAAACTGAAGTTTGAATTCCTCATAGGATACCTGCACAATCGACATCATAAGAAAACATTAATGTTTTAAGTTATCATAAATTTATCTTAGAATGCAAACTTACCTTAGAATGCACGATAGCCAGCGTATCAACCCATACACGCCAACCACCATATTCGTGCTTGATAGCGTGATGAAGAAGCATGCGAAATAAGGAATACACCATATCGGATATCTTCTGTTCTTCCGTATTTTTGGGATGAATATAAGCCATGGCGATAAGCCATTCCTGCCATACAGACATTTGTAAAACCGTTCGTCGATTTTCTCGATTATTGTTGCAGAGCAGTGTCATATCCGAGAGGAATAATTTTTTCACTTCTAATAATTGCTCCGTTTGCTTGGATTGCCGAACCAATGTCGCGACCACCTTCAGAATCACTAAAACAATTTAACAGATTAATATAGAGACAATATTTTATTTACTTACATAATTATAAATCAATTATTTACTCGGATTCTCTAAACGATAGTGAGATTCAGGTTCAGGATGTCTAGCATACAATATTTGTTGACTGATGTGTTCGGTCATAATCTGAAATTAAAATAAAAATTTTCATATATATAAATGTTAAAAAAGTTTTTAACATAATTTAAAAAACATAAAATGTGTAAATACCTCGTATAAAACGTTATATGTCGGCAATGAGAGTGTTTCTTCATTTAATAAGAGCCTTTCAGCTAATAACGTATATAGATTATGTGGACTCATGACATCGTATTTCCTTCTGTGTACATTATGTAGAAATATTAAATTTCTTAAAAATATTTATTCGCGTAAGTGTAAATAATCAATAAAAAATTGTTTACTTGTGTGTACTGCGGCTAAGGAAGAATCCTAGTAGTTTTAACGCTTGCAAACGTATTAACTGGCTTTCAGCTGCTAAGAGTTTAAAAATGGTTCGTACGCCTTGTTTCGCATCGAATGCAGGTACCATCGATGATGGATGTTCCGACATCAAAGATATGAGCATTTGTAAGACGTCATGCAAATTTTCATCCTAAAAATGGTCACGGAATTTAAGAAATATCTTTCTCATATTATTATTATCATGCATGATACATCATTCTTTAGAATTACCTCATGCATTGTTGTCAAATAATTAAGGATGCTTTGTAATTCGTCATCTTTCACTCCGTTGCCGATCATTATCAATTGTTTCAAAAATAATAAGATATAAGAACGAATTGTAAGAATGTCTTTTTGTTGTGGACGCGGTCCATCTATGAAAAATTGATTAATATAAAATGTTATTGTGTTCTCTACGTATTAGCAATAAAATTACCATGGCTGATATTATTTAATTAAATATAATAACATACCAAGTCCTTTTGGTGTTATTCCGCTTTTAGCTCGAGGATTAGCTACCCAATAATAATATTTCAGTGTATGTACTGTTTGCAAAACTGTCGATACACGTCTAACATTGGAATATATTTGCGTGTCGCTAAGAAACTCCGTGGCCAGATACGAGTAAAGTCGTGTTTGTACTGGAGCTGGCGTATATATCCACAGAGCAGGATTAAAAAGAACGTGATCCAGTAGCTGCCATGTTAGGAATGAAAAATAAAACAACTACATCACCATGGATCTGCCTGTTCTTCGGACACACCAATCTAGCCGACTTTTATATTATCCCTATCTTATGTTATTATCTTGATATTTTAATCCGTGTAATTAGCGTGATTAAATTGTCCAAGAAGTATTGTAAGTAATCCAAATGAAAAATAAAATGTTACTTCAGAGATGTGCATGTATATTTTTATGTAGAATTGTTCACGATAGTTTTAAATTATTATTTTCAACTTTGACAATGTATGCAAGTATATGTGAGTAAGAGTTTTAAATTGTTATTTTCAGTTTTGACAATTTATACTTATATGAGAGAGATGCTAGAAATATCTGAACATTGTAGATTTAATAACTGTATGAAGAAATAATAGACGCAAACATATGAATTATTAAGCATATGATTGAAAACGATATGCAGATGATATTTTTGTAACAACATTTATTATAAAAAAATTACGAGATGGAAAACACGATGTGGATAAATATTCGTGCATATATATGATTGGAAGAAATTTTGAAGAATAATATTAAGAAATGTAAATTTAGAGGGCTGTACATACATAGACGCGTACTTATTTTGCAAGTTAGGTAATACCGTCAAATTCGTATAATTAATGACGTAATTATTTTGCATTGTAAAAAAAATATGTAGAAGAGACATCGATCTTGTAATAAATTTATGTTAAATGTATGTAGAAGAAACATCGATCTTGTAAATTTATATTAAATTAGAAACAAATCTAATATGTATTAAACGTGTGATTTGATATTTGAAAAATAGAATTAATTTTTTGATTTGGAAAACACTTATATGACAATCAAAAATAATGTGCCAGGATTTTGATAATAGTGCGTATTAGAAAAAATGCATAATAAATTTTATGATAGCACAAGGGATAGATGAAAATTCTTAAAGTTGCAAAATAAGAATTACAAATTTTGAAATAAAAGCGACATATTATAAACAAAATTTTGCGTAGCCACTTTTTCAAATCAGAAAGCTTAAAAGTCGGTAGATTGCATGCGATCCGAAGTTTGATTAATATAATAATGGTCCAAGAAAATGAGTGAGCATGCTCAACAGATTCGTTGACAAATTCTTGACAGAATATGGAGGATACAAAATAAAATGCATACACATATATTATGGATGAATAGGATATTTGCAAACATTTCAATAAGAGCAAATGTGATGAAAGCATGGAAGCTATTATATAACACAATAGACAAGATAAATTAATAGAAGAGAATGCATCTATATTTATTGAGCATAAATTCAATATAATCCGCAACATGCATTTGTTTAAATCAAATATGCACATACACAAGGCAAATAAAAATTATATAAAAATAAAAAATCTATGCATAAAGATTTATTTTAAATTATGTAGAAAATAAATCGACAAATAATGATATATGCTGGACATTTAATATTTTCTTTAATGTTACTATTTAAATAAAAAATGACTGCTAGGATATGGTTAAACAACACAATATTTTATCATTTTCACAATAAATATCTAGTAATAAATATCTTTTCTCTACCAATAATTTTAGTTTTCTAATCTATGTATTCCCGATTTGAGACTATCTAACCTATATATAGAAAATGTTTTTAAATCTAATTCTTATATCACAAATGTCATTTAATTTCACATTCTTCCTCAATCTTTCTAAATCTATATGTAGGCATCTTATATTATTTCAATTAAAATAATTGCAAAAGTACAAAAAATATATTTAAGAAATTTAATATTTGTATATATCTGTATATTTTCGAATTAAGATTATTTTTATTATTTTCGAATTAAGGGGAAAAATAAAACACCATTATCTTAACTATAACTATACGATGACTATACTATAATATTATAGACTATATTATAGACTATATACTATAATATTATAACTATATTTATCGAAATATTTACATTAATTTCTAACAAAGTAATAATAGATTATTAATTAATATATCGGTACCTGTTTCAATAATAAATCGCTGTTTGCGCTGAGACAAGTCACTAAATGTTTCGTGAGCTCCAAGAAGGATGCGAGAACTTCCGTCGTAAGATGATCTCGGCTCGCTTTCTGTAGCATGAAACTTATTACTAAAAATCCCCTGTTTTGTACCATGTGTTGTTGAACTGTTTGAGAGCTCTCTACCAAGTCGCAAATAAAGCCGAGCAGTTTCGAACTAAAAAACAACATCGATTTCTCGTTAATGCCTTTTTAAAATATGTCTTTCCAAAGCTACAACGATTAATATGATTTACCATAACGTGGGATCACGCTTAACATCATTTGGTGCTATGCAGTCATAAGGCATATCTAGCTGTGAGAATAATGGGAACAATACTTGAATACCACCTATCGAATTTAACGTGCTGTGAATCGAATATGTTATGACTGCCTTGACATCCTGAAAACCAAAATAACAATTCCTTGTCTATTTTTACGTGCTATATCTAGAATTTATTCTACATGTGTTGTTCGCACATTATTAAAAAATTACTAAAAAAATTTATAAAAATAAAAAACGCATATATGATGCACTATATGATGCGGATGTTAAATCTGTCTTTATTCTCGAAGCCGTAAATAATAAATAATAAACCCTATACCTGTAACATGAGGGCATGTGGTGTATGTACAAAATAGGAGACGTTGCCTTTCGGTGCACTCTGTAGACAAAGCTGTGAGTCTGTTGCTACTGGATTGTACATGAACACAATTGCATTCGACAATTTTCCGTCATAAAGTACCTGAAATATCACATATAAAATAAAAAAATTAACAAAATTATAAATTTTCCTTGAAGTTTTCAAGATATTAAATTGTACAAATATTTTACAATACATAACATCAATGAACTACATCAGTTTAATCTCTTACCAGCATATAAGCATCTCGAATATTTTTCTAAATAATAAAAGATACACAGAAAAGGCATACATATCTCGCTCAAAACTAATAATCAATGATTCAACTGCTTATTATATTGCTACTACAAAATATCCATAAAAGGATCAGGTAATATAAGAAATTTTTGTGATACGTTATATATAAAGTCAAAGCGATGCTTATAACAAAAAATTTATTTTTGCAAAAAATGGCATTCGCTAATTAAGAAAGATAAGCATTTGGCAACGGAAACAAATATAATATATATACGCACAAATATATACATTCATAATATACCAGGCATAGTACAAAATATACGTTTTGTATTAACAATACCGGTTTTTCCAAGACAAATAATGTAAAACAAAATAATAAATTCAGTTGCAACAACCGGCAAGAAAATATGATCGTAATATGATCGTAATTGATTAATTACCTCAGGTGAACTCGAACGCAGTAATAGAATAATTAACAAAGTACAAATTATATGTTAACGGGAAAATAAAATCAAAATGCTTACAATTTGCATACTTTGGTCCACCATGCTCGTAGAGAGATCCTGCTCACTCACCCTTTTATGATTGTCGGGCAGATTCAGGTAGCACTCGTTGTCGAAACGAAACTGGCTCTATGCACGGATCGAAAAAATGATGGTAAATATTCGTCCATGAATATGTATAAAGTTCGTGATCGCACAATTAAAAATTTATAAAAATATATCTGGTGTCCTATAAATATATTCATCCTAACGTTAATATAAATATATTTAGCTACCTTATATCCCGGACCTAATCTATGCATCGCACATATCTGATGCGTTGTCAACGCTTCGCTGAATAAGTAAATTGCACTCATTTGCCCGCAAAACACGCGTTCCTCATCCAGTTCGGGAGTTGCTCCGATGTAGCATTTATCGAAAGGCTGTAAAACAATATTTTTCTTCTTTTCAAATCGGCAAGAAGGGAATATCGCTTGAAAAGACCGAAAATATTTGCAGGCACTCACGTCATTTGTCGAAACATGCCATGTCATTTCTGTACTCGACGCCAACTGACCATTGACCAGACATTTAATTTCACTCTTCGTCCATCTATTGTATATATACACTACCGCGATCATATACCACTGCGAAATAAAAAAATTTAGAGAATAGAAAAATTTTTTCCACATATTAAATGTGCTAGATATGCATTTTTGTAGAAAATATTAATAATGTAATAGAGCTATTAATTCACCTTTCGTGGTTGAAATTCGTATTTGACACAATGTTGGAAGCCCTTGCCTTTTATTTTCATAGACGTCAGGACTAAGCAGTTGCCTACGAAATGTGCAGAGTATCCTACTCCTTTGCTTGTCTTAAAACTAAAATATAATGAAAAAATATTATATTACTTTCTTGTTACATTTGAAAGCTATTTTCTCACTTTTCTTTCATTGTTCTTCTATCTTTTCTTTTGATATAAAAAAACAATTTGTTATATAAAAAGGTAGTTATAATTATGTATATATAACACAGATAAACTATTGCTAAGCAAATATAAAATTGGAGTAAAACATGAGATAATTTAAAAAATATCAACATTGTTTTCTTTGAAATGCAAACAAAATTACACTTAATGAATTCAGTTTGAATCTCTGCTTTCTTCAAAGTTAAGAAACATAGATGATTCTTTCACCTAGAAGAGAGTGCGCAAGGGTGCTTGATATGAGAGCACTTACCAGTAGAGGTACGGTTTTTCTCGTTCGATATTAACAGAGTTGATAGGGTCTAGGCGGAACCATGTGGTGAAGGTAAATCCATTCTCGTGTGGCCACTTTGCAAGCGGCGGCAAGACAATCGCCTGCAGGAAACGAGAAACGATTCTCGTCAAATTATAAAAATATATTTTTGGCAAAATATCAAAAGATTAAGTAAATATTGACAATTCAACGAGTTCCAATTTTTGATGGTTATTTAATTATGCTATACCGTTTCTAGTTTGCACAATATGTTTTATACAAAAATAATAAAAATATAAATAATTTTTAATAAATATACATTAAAAATTACGCTATATATAAAAATATTCTAACTTCAGTTTTAATTTCTCTAATTTTGTTCTTTAATTTCTAAATATTAATATTACAAGTATTATCATATATTCTGCCTCTATTACCAAATTATAATCCTTTATATTTTAATAAGCTTTTGAAAACTTTAGATTCTGAACTGTATAAATAATTTAATTATTAATTATGCGTAGCTGTTTTAGAACGTCGTAACATTATATAAAATGCATAACTATTTTAAAACATCGTTACTGTACATGAAATAAAGAGCAAAATTATAAGTGCTTGCTATATATTTTTATGCTCAAGGGATTTTATACATATATTCTTATATATGTTCATATATACTCGTCTCTTCTCAGAATATAATTGATCTAGATATATAACGAAAAGAGAAGAGGAAGAAGATGAGAAGGATTATTATTACATATATTACTAATACCAATAATACTAATGAATCTATTCTCTTATTTAAATTAAAAAACATTCGAGGATATTATATATAACAAGCTTATATTACTTGGTAGTATATGCAATAATGATGTTCAGGAAAGTTCCTTGCCGTGATTGATTTCGAAAATGTAAGCTGGTAGCGAAATCTTGCGGGGAAGAGTAAATTCTCTTATCGGAACTTTGATCGAGTTTAAAATCGAACGACGTCCTTTGGGATGTCGTAAAGTAAGAAGTATCTGTTGTAAAGTAAAAGAAGGGAGAAAGAGGCAAACAAGAAAAGAAACCAACTTACCGACCCCTTCCTACCAGGAAAACTGAAAAATACATCGGGCCCATTTCGCTGTGGCATTTGGCGGAGGACGTTTAACAATTTCGCTGAATGCCGCGGCTACGAGAAATTTATATTATTAATTTATTATTTTATGGTAATTTTATCGTGTCTAATATATTGGTCGTAATATAATCAATATATCCTTACAATAATGTCTAATATATTGGCCGTAATATAATCAATATATCCTTACAATAATATTTACACAAATTTTCATTATGTAATTTGTAAAAAAAATCTTAAAAAATTCTTACCCACTTTCCTTTAACAGCTTTCATAGCGCCGAACAAAAGTTTTAATTCTTTCACCGTTATACTGTAGCTTGCTAGCACTCCCAGCATATCGATTAATAAGTCTGTCACAATATAAAATGACATATGTCTTAAGGAATATAGTTAAAAAAGTAATAAAATTTTCTCTATATATGATATGTGACATAATGATATATAACATGTAATAATGATATATAACATGTAATGATGTAGTGATATAATATGATATAATGATATGTAATTATTATCGTGAGTAAAATACAGAGAAATCGGTTAAAATTAAATTATTATCGATTAAAATTAAATTATATTTTATTCAATGATAGTATATATGATTTTAATATTGAACATATACTTACCGGCGACAACAGTTTCTGCACGAGATAATCGATGTAGAACATGTTCTATGAGACTTACATCCGTGCACGCTTGTAAGTTTCTGACACTTTTTCTCAAGATCGCGATAAAGACGCTCCATATTTCGGCCTGCAACAAAAAATATTATATATAAAATTATTTATTTCATGATACTCTAACTCTCCAACACAGTTGATAATATAATATCATACGTGTATAATTTATTTTACACATTCATTATTATAATAGCTGCTCTAATAATAGAGAAAGTATAATATACAAGACTTTTTATTATATTTTTATATTATTAAATGTGTAACATAAAAATGAATTGTTGGAGATCAGAAGATATATGTTTTGTTCGCGAGTAAGCTAGGCAATTAATAATTTAGCTTAAATGGAATTTCATTGTGCGTTGTCATCGTCTGCTAAAATCATATAATGGCCAGATAATATCAGAATATTAATTAAAAGAATATTACATGCTTTTTATTATATGCTTGTTTGTACTTTTATTCGATAAATAATTGATAAAATATTAATCAATTGTAATTAACTTCTAACTTTATTAAAAAGTGCCTTATTTATTAAAAGCATATATTACTTATATATATATTTGTACGTTCACATGTGCTTGCGTAAAAAAATTATATTTTATTTATAAAAAATTAATTTGACAATATTTTATTCTACTTAAGAAATAAATAATACTAAAAAATAAATTTATAAAAAAAATAATTTACTTCTGCTCGTTTCAATATGTATGATAATTATCGATAAAGATTTTACAGTAGTATTCTTTTAATTACTTATATATAATTATGCATTTCTATTTTTGCAGGTAGTTATTCAATGTATCAAAACGAATGATAATTTATTTCATTTGAATTTATATGAATACTTTATTTTAATATATCTTATATAATTACAGAAAATATTTTGCTTTAATATAAATAAATTATTGTCATCTTCTATTTTTATAATTGCACTATTTTAATATGATCTATCTGAACAGATTCAATTAATCCAATTGTATAAATAGATAGAAATCGAGTTATATCTTGATTATATAAGTAATGGTTTGTCAATTATGTCCAGGCAAAAACAACTAAAAAAGGAGTTGTCCAAGTTAAATAAAATGGTAGTGGCTTTTCGTCGGAAGCGAATAAAGAATGGCTTAATAAAACCACATACTCATCCCGTTAAGAAAAAGTTAATGCTCCAAAGAGGTTTTTTTGTAAGCAATTGCGAATAATTCAGTTGGACATTCCAAACAAAACAAGACAAGCTTTTCCCACGGAAGGTATTTAATACGGTCAAATAACCGGTTCTCGTTTATCCATATATCTATATAGAATACATGAAGTCTGCAAAGCTACGGATTATTAGAAACTAACTGGTAACTATTTCAATATACAGACAATAGACATTCAGCGTGTTTGTGTAGTGTGGATCAACTTCCAATGATTTTGCAACAGTTTATCTTCAAATTATTATACTTCTCCGGATAGCCGGACAACCACACACTACCGACGCCGCAGTTCGTGTACCCGCGTAATCCCCTGCTGATATGCAAGGTAGGCCACGAAGCGAGATAACTACGGGTGCGGGGTAACCGCCGAATAGCAGAGAAATCCCGAAAATGCCGCTGGAATGCCCCCAGTCGGAATTTCGGCTCCGCGAGCCGGAGTTTTAGCGAGGAGAAGTTATGGGCATTCGGATAATTCCGGAGTAATGATCTCGCGGCTATACACCTTGTCGGCTTACTACATCGGGGTTGCGAATGAATCCGCCGGAGCGCGGGCAAAAAAAACGACAGAAAAAAGGAGAAAGAAAGGGAGAGTGAGAGAGTCGTCCTGAGTAATGTCGTGGAAGCTTCCAACTGTCGCTCGACTGTGATAAATTGCCCTGAATCGCGAGAGCAGTGGTTAGTCAAGTTGATCTTCGGAGCTGGGTAGGTAGGTATCTCGTCTTCGCGCTAAAGGATGCTGCTTATCCGTCCTTTTAGATGTTGCACTTTCAAACGGTGTCGCAGACATTTTCTCACTATAATATTAATGTCGGCTTTACAACGCTATTTTATGAGATCGCATCCACAGAAGATATATTTTTGCTGACAACTTGCGAGTCGCGCACTACTTCAATATGTATTTTTATATTCGACAAAACTTAAAATTAAGTCAATAGAAATATATAATAATAATAATAATAATAATAATAATAATAATAATAATAATAATAATAAAATAATAATAATAATAATAATTCCTCGATTCTGAAAAAACATAGCATTCGATGCAGTTAACAAGATATTTGCAGCGATGAATTAATTATTATTCCTCTATGCGTGAGAATATTATTGTTATTATTTCTTAATCATGTACATGATTATTTATAATACATCTACATGTACATAATTATTTCGTATATAAATAAACATATATAATATAACAGATACGCGAGCACCATACTCGTAAGTAATTGTGGATGCAATACGGTAATCCATTCATATATAAGATAATAATTTTAAATCACCGATGCAGCGTTAAATAAATGCGCATTTTCGCTTGTCATTTTTATGCAGACCTTGATTAGTCGCCTTTTATTTTTCTCTGTCTCTTTCTCTCTCTTCACTACGGTAATAAAGTGATAAATGACTAGCCATGCAAACTGATATAGTCGATTTGCCTGCTGCCTATATACTCAGAAAAGTCTACGGACGCTAAAACATGATAGACGTTAGAAAAAGAAACATTTAATTCTCTTAGTCTCTATATATATTATTAGCAAAATATTCTGATTCAAATTTAAAACTAATTTAATTAGTATATACAAATTGATTACTAAAAGAATAAAAAAAATTCAAACTAGATTTATTTAATTTGCGCAGCATTTTGTAATCTGGGTATCTTACATGGTTTATATATAACTATCATGCTTTTTTATATTATACATTTGTTCTTAAGAATTAAATAATATTCACATATTTTATCGAAAAGTTTTTTTTCGAAAAAATTTAAATAAATGGGAAATAATATTTTAATTTGAGCAGTACGTCATCTCGATAGCAAACGCCATATAATAAATTCAATGTCGAAATTGTTTCCGTGTATTCGCTGAATGAAATATAAATATATTTTGATGTAGAGGAATTGCCAAAAATTTAATTACTTACTTTCAGTCCTGTTTTTTCAAACGGCAAAAAAATAAATAGCTGTTACAATATTGATTATTATTTCATCTATATTTCTGATTTTGTGTGTGTGTGTGTGTGTGTGTATGTGCAATGTGATTATTTTTCAAATATATATATTATATATTTTATAATATAATTAATTTTTTAAAATATTGCAAAGTTAGAAATAATACAAGAAAATGTTAAAATAATTACTTCTGGAAATGGAGAAGTTAAGATACATATTGTTTTAGAATTAATCACCTTGCTTCGTTTAAATCCATTGAACTTTCTCATTTAACTTTGTACATATACGAAAGTCCATTAATAAATGCAAGATAGAACATTTCGGATTTTATCATTTAAAATGTTATTGTGTATTAAATTAATATATTAAACAAAAAATAGGGTAATTTTAAGCATAATTAAATTTAAGGTAATTATTAAATACATTTATGATAAACATTATAAAGTTAAAATTTCATATTTAAATGTTATCGAATAATTATTATTTACAAAAATTTTTAATGCTAAAATAGCACATTATTACATGCTCTTCTAAAAAAACTGTTATTTCGTAATTTATAGTAATTTATATTTTTGTCAGTTCTGCTCACATGAGAGAGAAATAAATTTTTAAAAAGTATAAATAAAGCCATTTTTGCAAAATGAAACTATTTCGTCATAGTTCATCCGTTATAAAAAGGATATTAATGGACGTAAACTAGATCTTTCATGGTCCACCGAAAGGATTTTAATGGCTGACTGTGTGCGCGACTGAACTACTACTGACGTACAAAATCGACGCGTATATAGCACGAATAGTATGTTTAGTTTATCACAACCTAGAAAATTTATATTTTTTCAAAGATAATATCTTTCTTTATAGTAAAACAAAAATTTTAGAATTATTTAATTTCTAAAACAAATGAGACTTTTTATGTTGAGAGTCTTATTATAATTAATTAAATTTTCATTTATATATATTTATCATGTTATAAGCAGTTCAATGAGTAACATATTGAATGCAAAATATCTGAAATCATAAATATCTGACATGAAAGCAAAAAGCAAGAGGCTTATGTATAAATGTAATCACTCAACCATAATTTGTGCGGTTTTATCGTTGGCAGTTTCTGATAGCATTTAAGAGAAAATGTAAGGGCGACTCTATACGCGGTTTTCCCATGAGTCTCTACTTCCGTGAATGTTTCAGGCGTGATCCTCGGGGCGGATACTCTGGGATAAGATAATCCTGCATAATATCAGAGCTTGCGAACCTTTAAAATCCGAGTACCTGGCGCAGCCGTGAATAATTCGCTGCACGCGCGAGCATCGTTAAGTTGCAACATCGGGAATCTAATCATCTCTATACAGGAAAAGCTGTCATTAACATTGAATCATGTAAAAAATCATGGAAAAATACATGAAAAATGCAAAATCGTGCGAGACAACAATTTTATCATTTGTAATATGCATCCACGATGTTATATTGATTTAATTAACATTTATACAGCATTTGATTTAAATTAAAAACTATCTATTATAATATCTGATTATAAAACGATTATTGCAAAATAAGAGCTAAATTGACTGACACAATAATTCTTAACAACCGAAAACCGTCACTTTCATTCGGCTATATTTTTGTGAATCATTTATTAGGCTCTATCGATTTTTCATGAGATATGACGTATTTCATCGTATTTTATTATCATTTTTCCGTCGGCAGCAACCCCTCAATGATATTAATTCTTCCTAAGCTGTCACAGACGAATCTCACAGCCGCTAAAATTAGGACGTCCTAACGGGGAGTTTCGCAGAATCGCATTTTCTGTGGGATCGTTCAATTTCATTGTAGCCATCCATTACGCTACATTAAAACGTACTCGCCAGTTTGGTACGTACCGTTCAACAATTGTGCCGCACTAAAAGCCACCGTCAGAGCATGGCT